CAAATGAAATGTTACAATAACCAAATGCTTTGCTTCAACTAAATTATTTTGTTGCATCGATTAATTTCTTGTTTGGATATGGGCAAACAAATCCTTGGTCAACTAAATGAGTTTCTCAGTGAGATAACAATATCATAAAACTTCTGAAAATCAAGATATTTTGAAAAAAGGGAAGAAAGAAATTTCAAAATTAAAAAAAAAATCGTTTTTTAAATAAATTAGTTATTTTTCAAAAAAATGATACAAGATTTTAATTTACAGAAATCGAAACATATTAAGTTATATTTTAAGAACAAAAATACATTATTATGAATTATTCTAAAAAATGTATTTATTCGACGAGGTTGAATTTGAGTGATTTTCAAGTAATACGATAAAGTTAATGCAAAAGTCTTTATTATATGACATCTAAATAAATGAAATTATTCATTGATTTGCGTGGAACAGGCGAAACAAATTTTTGCAACATATTCCCTACACATTAGCTGTTGGCACTTGCAAGCATATGTAATAAATTTTCCTATCTAAAGCCCCTGGACAGAATGAACATCTTCTTTGTTTTTCTATTTTGTTTACAGCTAATATATCGCGCGGATCTTGATTTTCTAGAATGTCTGTGTGTTTCATGAATTCTTTGATTTGAATTCGCATTTGAATTTGATCTTGTTTATATATTTACTTACAATTTGATTTCGAAATAAAAAACGTAATAACCGCACAGGGTTAGCGTAACCCACACAGTAAGTTTATGGCGTTCTATCTTGACTGGTTCGTGCACGCTGAGATTGCCAGGCGGGGGATTTGTAGTAGGGATGCGAAAGTTTTTTTCTCTCTCTCTCCCTCCCTCCCTTGTTCTCACTCCACACTTCTGATCGTTCATAAACGCCACGCGTTTTTTCAAACGGACTGGGTTACCGTAACCCACTGTGGTGTTCAAGGATTAACAGCGAGAAAGGGTAGTCAATGTGGTCAAAAAAGAAAATCCAGTCAATAACTTATTGGTAACGTTATTTCCAGTTGTATAAGATGGTTGTATATACGACAGATATATGTAACATCTACGTGATGCAGAGTGAATAAGCAGCTAATAAGAATTATAACTATTATTAATAGATGTCACAGAGTTGTACAAATTAAAAATCTTTTTTTAGAATTATAATTAATTTGTTAATAAATGTCGCAGATTTTAAAAAATGAGTAAATTTTATCATAAATTGTGAAGTTAAATCAAATCTAATAGCAAAACGTAAAAAAGTTTTACAAAATGATAATCTTGATAATGTCGCAATACATAGTCGCTTATTAAAATTGAACGTAAAACATTAAAAAGTCGTAGTTTACTCATAACAATAATGCAATCACTTACAGTGATACGGCAGTCGAGATATAAAGTCCTATTCCCCATGATCTTTCTTTCTTCAACTTATGTCAGCACAAGTATTATCAAAACACTAAAAATGTAAAAAAAAGGCGTCAAGTATATTTTGCAGAAAAAATATACCAAAAATAATGCCATAAAAAAAGAAGTGAAATCAAAATAATATTTCAAGTATCTCTATTTGAAAAGTCCCATAGAACACAGTTCTCTGAACGCCATCTTGAAGGTTTTCTTATGATGTAGACGACTTTTCGATATCCTTTAAGACAGTGTTGTATGGAATAATTTCTCACAATTATAATATACATACTACACAAAGTACGGATGACATTTGAAGTGTATTAAGTATAACAACACATTAATGAGAGAACGAAATGCAATAGATAGCGTAATGAGAGGCGCGGAAACTGAAAAGGGATTTTTACATCAATAACAAGTAGAAAATTGTAGAAATAAAAAATCGGAAATGAGCAAGATCTCCAGCAGCAGCATACTTGACGCGCCCGTCTCGTTCATAATTCGATTCACGCAAATAATTTAATAAGTATTTTATTATAATTATAAACTATTTTTCGCAAATTAAAGAAATGTTATATGTATTAAAATTGTTATTATAGTATTGATATATTTCATATTTAACAAGTGCACATACAAATATTTTTCTATGAGATAAAGAAAAATTTTTAATACTTCTTAATACTAAATTCTTAACCCTTAAATTTTTTTATCGTAGTAATAATATTTTAAATTTATTACAGTCATATTAGCAGTTATTACTCGACATAATATTATTGTCTTTAATTATATTTGATTCTCATGAAAATAGAAATCTAAATATTATATTTTTTACTTAATAAAACTTTTTAGAAACAATGCACGACTTATTTGCGGATTAGGGACTTTATTATCAAATAGATTTAAAAGCTAGTTATACGTGAAATTGGGATTCATATGTATTCCTTGTAATATATTTCGAAATTACATTATCTGTGCTCTAATATCCTTTCCTAACTAGAATGAATTAGAATCAATTATACTATAATATTAATTTTATTAAAATATTTAAAATTTTATTAAATCGTAATTAATTTTAATTGTCATTGATATTTACATACTATTGACAAGTCAGGATGCGAACGACTGTCTTAGCCATTTTTATTTTAAATTACGATTATAAACAAGCCGGGTGCGTCAAGTATGCTGCTGCTAGAGATCTTGCTCATTTCCGATTTTTTATTTCTACAATTTTCTACTTGTTATCGATGTAAAAATCCCTTTTCAGTTTCCGCGCCTCTCATTACGCTATTTATTGCATTTCGTTCTCTCATTAATGTGTCGTTATACTTAATATACTTCAAATGTCATCCGTATTTTGTGTAGTATGTATATTATAATTGTAAGAAATTATTCCATACACTGTCTTAAAGGATATCGAAAAGACGTCTACATCATAAGAAAGCCTTCAAGATGTCGTTCAGAGAATTGTGTTCTACGGGACTTTTCAAATAGAGATACTTGAAATATTATTTTGATTTCACTTCTTTTTTTATGGCATTATTCTTGGTACGTTTTTTCTGCAAAATATACTTGACGCCTTTTTTTACATTTTTAATATCTTTTTCGATAGATTTCACGAATTTTTGCTCAGTATTATTTTCATTATCATTTTCATATATTTACAAAATTGTTTGATTATGTAAAGATATTGCAAAATATACTTAATGCCTTTTTTTACATTTTTAATCTCTTCCGGTTGATTATCATTTTCTAGCTTAGTTAACAAATACCAGTATATAATTTCGGTTTCGTACAATCCCCTTTTGTTAAACATTATAAGTTAATGAATATTGTTTGAATTAAAACGTTATTTCATTATCATTTTCTAGTTTAATTAAAAACTATCAGCTTATAATTTCGTTCTGTCTGATCTCTTCATATTAATCAGTCTTTATCAATTTACTCATGCATGCTCTCATTCGAACGTAGACAGGTGATAAATATCATAAATAGCCAAATAAAAACGTAAATAGGTGAATAGGTGAAACATTGGAAGATGGATAGATAACATCCATAGGTGAATAGATCATATAGATATATAAGTTAATATGTAAATAAATAAAATAATGTATACAAACAGATGAAATGTAGAAAAATTGGGAATGGTATGCAGAAATGATGCGAAGAAGTGCAGAACAAATGCGGAAGAGATGTAAAAGAAATGTAGAAGTGGTACGGAAAAGATGCGGAAAAGGTGCAAAAGAGTTGCGGAAACGGTAAGATTCAGATGCGGAGAGGTGCAGAAGAAATGCGAAATTAATACGGGAGAGGTGTGAGAGAGATGTGGTACTGTTGTAGAAAAAGTACAGAAAAGGTACATAAAAGATGTGGTAGAGATGTCAGAAGGATGCGAGAGAGATGCGGAAAAAGTACAGAAGAGATGCAGTAAAAGTTCAGAAAAGATGCGGAAAAGATGCAAAGGAGTTGCGGAAACGGTAAAACTCAGATGCGGAGAGATGCAGAAGAAATGCGAAATTAATACGGGAGAGGTGTGAGAGAGGTGTGGTACTGTTGTAGAAAAAGTGCAGAAAAGGTACATGAAAGATATGAAAGAGATGCCAGAAGGATGCGAGAGAGATGCGGAAAAAGCGTAGAAGAGATGCAGTAAAAGTTCAGAAAAGATGCAAAGGAGTTGCGGAAACGGTAAGACAGATGCGGAGAGATGCAGAAGAAACGCGAAATTAATACGGAAGAGGTGTGAGAGAGATGTGGTACTGTTGTAGAAAAAGTGCAGAAAAGGTACATAAAAGATGTGGTAGAGATGTCAGAAGGATGCGAGAAAGATGCGGAAAAAGTACAGAAGAGATACAGTACAAGTTCAGAAAAGATGCGGAAAAGGTGCAAAAGAGTTGCGGAAACGGTAAAACTCAGATGCGGAGAAGTGCAAAAGAAATGCGAAATTAATACAGGAGAGGTGTGAGAGAGATGTGGTACTGTTGTGGATAAAGTGTAGAAAAGGTACATGATAAATGTGAAAGAGATGCCAGAAGGATGCGAGAGATGCGGAAAAAGTGCAGAAGAGGTGCAGTAAAAGTTCAGAAAAGATGTAGAACATGTGTGGAAAAGGTGTAGAAAAAGTGCAGAAAAAATGCAGAAAAAAGTTCAGAGGTGTAGAAAAGATTCAGAAAAAGTGTAGAAAGTGCTGAAAAAAGGTGTAGTAAAAGGGGACAAAATTTTGCGAAGACGACGACGACGAATCTGAATAAATAAATGACATAAATTGGGCTGAAAAATACGTGCACATATTCATATCTAAGCATCAAGTACACTTATGGACATGATTATAATCTCATTTTAATTGTAAAAATCTATATTCTTCCCCAATATATGCATTTTTTAATAACATCAATTTGTTTAAACAAAATAATTTTTAATTATATAATCGAGTTCATTGCTGTAAAGGATACGCTATAGCGTCTCTTTCATGACATGGTATTATTATATTATGTACTACAAAAAATATACTTGACGGAAGCCGCTACCGCGTCTTCTGATTCTCTTAATATGAACAATCTTCACCGGACAGCCGATAAATCGCAAATGCTGCCGTTTATGTACAACGGTGTCAGAACGAACAGAAAAGACCAACTAGTTGATAACGTTTTTGTTGCTAACAAAGGAACTCAATAGATAAACATATATTTTCTTTTTTGACCAAATTGGCTACCCTTTCTCGCTGTTAACCGAAGAATTGGTTTGGATTTACTTTTCATATACGTTTTATATTTTGACTCACAACATGGTTTGTCAGTATATCATGGTTGGATTTGTAACATATATTGTGATCGTTGGGTGAGATGATTCGATTAATACATTTTTTATACCGTTACCGAAATTAATTTTAAGTTTAATGTCTATATAAATTATTGTTTCGGGGTTTTTTATTTATAAACACGGCTGATAAGGACTTAGTACAGTCGAAATGGTCCGTGAAATTATTATAAAAGAATAATAAAGTTACTGTTTGCACCTTACAGAGCTCGTTTTTTGAAATGACCTGGTAGAAACTTTTTATTTATTGTTGAAATTTATACGAGTGAATTATATAATATATTTTCCATTGTGTATATAATTATTTATAATCCTTTAAACATAATTTAATCTCTGAACATTATTATTTACTTAAAATTGTAATCTAATGCTGATGATTAATTTTCAGACCAGTGTCAGCGTATGCCCTTTTCTTTAGAGATACTCAGGCAGTAATTAAGGGAAAACATCCAAATGCCAGCTTCGGCGAAGTATCTAAAATTGTTGCATCAATGTGGGATGCACTAGACATTGAACATAAAAATGTAAGTGTCTAAAATCTTAATTACCCTACATATTTCTTTTACTTATTGATAATTATATTGAATATCGTTTTTTTAAACTGCGACATATTAGTATAATTATAGACATATTAATATAATTGTAATATTAATATCCCATTGTTGCTAATTTAAAATATAAACTTTTATGTAGTATTACAAAAAGAAAACCGAGGCAGCTAAGAAAGAATATTTGAAAGCTCTCGCGGCATACAGAGCATCTCTGGTAAGCAAAGGTGCAGGTGAAAATGAACAAAAACAGCAAACACCACAGCCGCAACAACAAATGCAATACAGTGGATACACAAGCTATGCTAACAATACTGCGCCAGCAAATGTTTCATATCAAGTTTATAGTCCTCAACATCAACCTTCATCGCCTCAACATCAGCAACAGCAGCAACAACAAATGGCTGTTAATAAAAAGTCATCCCATCATTTAGCCATGCAAGGAAACCCTCAACAAGTATGATCTTATTGCAAATATATGGTAGAATTTAAAAAAAGATTCAAGTACATGTTATAAAAGATAATTTTTTCGAAATTATGACGTAACTTTATACTTGTTCTCATGACATAAGTACTAGTACATAGACAAAAATTAATACATAAATTTAATGATTAATGTATTATTCATCATTCTATAAATGAAATAGGACTATCGTTTGACTTATTATACAATGATATACATATAATAAGTAAAACACATTCTATGTAAAAAGTTTTCTAAATTTTTGTTTATTTTTTTCTTTATTTCTCTATGTATAAGAACTAATGTATGACATTTTATTTTTATGAGATTAATAATTCATGTATGAATAATTCAAATCATATAGAAAGAAAATATAAACAATTTGAACAAAGAATACATGTATTCTCATTTTTATAGAGCTTAATGGGCAGTGTAATGGCACCACTGCATATGACACAACAGCAACAGCAGCACATGCAGCAGCAGATTTCTCAACAGCAATATATGCAGGTTAATAAACTATACATATATACGCACATATATAAACACATATATAGGATGTCCGGTAAAAACCGTAACAATGTTTAAGGTTCCCAACACATGAAACTTTAAAACGTCTGCGATGACTATGTCCCAGCTTAAATCGCAGTATTTTGGTCTATGACAATTACTACCACAACGTCATTATGACATTGTGACAAAGTTGTAGCGGCAAAAATGAGACAACAATTTTGGGTTTTGAAGACGATGTCGTAGCTATTTGGCTGCGCAATTATTTTACTGTGGAAAAGTTGTCATAGCCATCACGCAGTTTCAAAATGTCTGCGATAACGTTGTCGCAGCTTAGACTACAGCATTTTTGACTAGTATAACTACCGCCAAAGAGTTATTATAACGTTTTAATAAAATTGTATTAGATGTTAAACTTAATTCCTATCATTTTTTCATCTCGAAAATCGATTTGTTTCGAAGAGAAGATGAATGAATACCTTAATCAAAGTAATTTCCTCCATTTTCTACTACTTTTCCCCATCTCTCCGGCAACAGGGCAATCCCACGAAGGTAGAACGCGGTGTCTTTCGAGACGATCCATTCATCCACCCATTTTTGGACTTCGTTGTAACTGGAGAAGTGTGTGTCCGTAAGTGCGTGTTGCATCGATCGGAAGAGATGGTAATCCGACGGTGCCAAGTCTGGAGAGTACGCTGGATGCGGCAGAACTTCCCATTCAAGCTCTCGAAGTGTCTGCTTCACGCTTTTCGTGACATACGGTCGAGCGTTATCATGCAACAAAATGACTTTGCGTCGATTGTTGACTACGGACTATGATCTTTTTTGCATCAATACGTCACTCAATCGGTATAATTGCTGTTGGTAGCGATCAGCTGTAACGGTTTCATTTGGACCCAAGAGTTCATAATACAGCACACCTTCCTGATCTCATCAAACGCACAGCAAGGTCTTATGCCCGTGAATATTTCTCTTCGGCGTTGAAGCAGATAGTTGGCCGGGGTCCACCCATGATTTTTTCCGCTTGGAATTATCAAAATAAATCCATTTTTCATCGCCAGTCACGATGCGCCACAAAAAACTCTTTTTTCTTTACCTGGCAAGCAAAGAAGTCGCAATAGTCAAACGATTCGAAATGGCACTTTCTGACAACTCATGTGGTAGCCATCTCCCTTCCTTATAGATCTTTCCCATGGCATGCAAGTGTTTTGAGACGGCCTTTGGAGTAACATTTAACTGTTTCGATAACTCTAAAAACGTTTGAGCTGGATTCTCATCAAGCAATTCTTGCAGCTCGACATCTTCAAATTTTTTCGACTGTCTTGGACGTTCTTTGTCTGTCACATCAAAATCACCGTTTCGAAAGCGTTCAAACCAAACTCTACATGTTCTTTCCATTGGAGTTTCATCACCATACACTTTGGATAATAAGCGATGCACTTCAGCTGCGGTTTTCTTGAGGTCGAAGTAGTGAAGAAGCACACGTCGGAAAAACAGCTTATCGCGATTCATTTTCAATCGATTGGAAAATCTCTTTGTCGTCGAGAAATCTAACCTGTGAGGATTGAATCACTTTCAGCTATGTCTAAACTACAAAAGACATATGACTTCATCGTCGAAACTCGCCAGCGTTGGAGCCAGCATCCTCTAGTAGCGAGCGATAGGAATTCAGTTTAACACCTAATAGTACCAAAAATAAGACAACATTTTTAAGTTTTGGAAATGATATCGCAGATATTCAATTGCACAACTATTTTGCTGTACAGAGATTGTCATTGCCGATATGTTACAGCAGTGATAATCTGAATAAAATAAACTAATAAACAGAATATTCTTTATTTGTAAATTAATATTTAATGAAAGTTTAATTTTAACTTAAAGTTACGTAAAAATATTTAAGATATAATAAAAAAATATTTTTTTACAAATTTAATTAAACTTGTAACAACCCGGTACCTTTGTCTTACTAAAATTAGATCAAATTTAAAGATTAATTATTCATTGCAACTTATTACAATTTATAACGTACATATAATTACTAATGCGTACGCAAATTCATAAGTATGCTGATTAGATAAAATTACACAGATCTTTAAATAATAATTTTAGAGCTGAAATGAATGGGTCCGTTTAACCATCGCTGATACATGCTAAATTTAACCTAAAACTGATAGTTTATGTTACCCTTTGCTTTTGCTATGACACACAAATTACAGCTAGATTATAGCTATTTTGACGATAAAGTTATCATATATGTACTTTTACAGTCAAAATAGATGTGACTCCATTTTGACTTTTTTATTAGCTATTACAGAGACTATACAGATACCAATACAACTAAAACAGCAATGACTTCATTTTTTATTAGCTGCCACAGCGACTGTAGAGCTATCAATATAGTTAAAATACCTGTAGCTGCATTTTAACTTTTCTATTAACTGATTGCTATTATATGCAGAGAAAAGATTAGTCAACGCATCTAAAATAGAGCTGTAGCAGTTAAAACGTGTCCTTATGATAGGGACAGTTAATGTCGTTGCAAAGCCCAATTTATTAACTGCTAAAATTTAGGTGCTGCTGCCAAAAATTTTCTCTGCTAGAGTAAAATGGCAACCGGCAGCATCCTAGAAACAATTGCGAATGGAATGTTTGGTTACGCGGCTAAGATAATGACGAATAGTTGCCACTTACTGGGGTAATCCCGATTGATCACGGCTTGATTGGACACCACCAATCACAGCGACCGGTGCTTAGGAGCTTTGTAGTCTCAAGCGCTGTGAGTGGCTCGTGTCCAATTGAGCTGTGTCCAACTGGGTGCCACTCCCACTTACTTACATAGCTACTCATGTTAAGTACGCTTTTAATTTTAACCAATAAAGTTGAATGTCGACAGCAAATGTATTTTATCTTCAATGGCCAACTTTTATCAATAACAGCAGAGTTTGAATTAGCAACTGATATTTAGCTAATATTACTAAGTCCTTTTTTTGCATGTAATACAGCTAAAATAACTGTAGCTGCCAAATAACAGATTGTAATTAAGATTGACAGAACATTATACTACATGCAAAAAAGGACTTACAAGGGAATATAACCAAATGAATCTCTCCAATTTACATGAACTTTTAGTATGTTGTTCTATGGACAAAAATAGGAGACACGTATTTTTTTATACGTGTTGAGTCGCATGTTAAGACTGGATTCGGGGAGACGCTATTAGCGCTATTTCTGTCATTCTATCTTCATCGTCCATTAGACGTAAGACAAGGATAGTACTACACAAATGGCGCTGATAGCACTCTGCCCAAACGCAACCAAAGGAGTGAAATCCTCTCTTGAAAAAAGTTGGTTTTTTTTCTTTCAGATTGAATATCGTCGAAACTGTACGATAGAAAAAAATGTGCAGAATAAAAATTGAATGGCATTAAGAGTACTGTAGAACTATATTTAAAAAATATTGTTTTTAATTATTTATTTATAATAAAGATTATTTATTTATAAAGAAAAAAATTTTTTTATTATAGTTCTAAAGTACTCTTGAAGCCATTCAATTTTCATTCTGAAATTTTTTTTCAATCTCTTCCAGTATCTTTCGATAATATTTAATCTGAAAGAAAAAAACCGATTTTTTTCAAGAGAGGATTTCACCCTCTTACGTGTGACTTAGCACGTATAAAAAAAATACGTGTCTCCTATTTTTGTTCATAGAACAACATACTAAAAGCTCATTTAAATCGGAGAGGTTCACTTGGTTGTGTTCCCTTGTTAGTATTAGGTTGGTGCAAAAATAATGTCGATTTTTAACCTTCAACTTCAAATCCAAATATCTAAACTCATAATAAACTTTATTAATCGAAGTAAGAACCATTAGAATCTACACATTTTTGCCAACGAGATAGAAGTTTTTTTATTTCATTAGCATAGAATTTGGGGGCTCTAGAATCGACGACTTCTCTGAAGGCGTTTTCAGCAGCAACTTGGTTGTTGAAAATTTTTCCCTGTAAGAAGTGATCGAGATGTTTAAAGAAGTGGTACTCGGTTGGCGAGAGGTCCAGTGAGTATGCTGGGTGAGGCAAAATTTCGTAGCCAAGTTCGTTCAGTTTCTGCAGAACCGATTGTGCAACGTGTGGATACAGTACATACAATAGCGACAGTAGGGACGGAATCCATAGACGTTGCTTAAGATCTGTCTTGAGATAGTCTTTGTCAAGCTCGATTTAGGGCCCAAAACCAGCTTAAGAATGCATCACATGTATAAATGGATCTTGAAAACTCGAGTTTGAGCTTGAGACTGTCTTAACGAAGCTCGTGCTTAAGCACTCGGCTTCGTCAGGGTTTGTTAAGGCAGTCTTACGTTCAAACTCGAGTTCTCCAGCTTCGGAAACATTCGGGATTTTCTAGAATTTGTCTAATGACAATTAATCAGGGAATGGAAAGTTACTTTTTAAAAGTAACAAGTTACAGTTATTCGTT